ATGTCATTCAGAAATATCTCCGCATGGAGGCATTCGGACGTTTTACAGGCAGGAGACTAACACCAGAGTTTGGTCTTGTCAATATCTAAAGAAATTGGCCTGGATGTCAAGCTCTAAACTAGAGACTGAAACCAACAAGAGCTTGGCTTCTTCCTCCCCCCCCTTTCAGAATATAGAAGGTGACAGTAAATAGAATGATCCCTATGAAGCATTTTTTTTCACCAATGAGTAAGACTGTCTCAAAGCATGTTTTTGTCTCCACTAACTAAGAAGAGTCTGTTGTCAGGTAGGTAAGAACCCATACCTCAGACTATTTTCAGTCACTTGCTGGCCCAATGCATTCTAAGTTTTTTTAAAATTTCTGCTTAGTCAGTGAGTCTGGTATAAGATGCCTTTGAGTGTATCCGAGTGTACAACTACATTGGACGATAATTCCCAGTTTGCTCCAGAACTGGCACAGGTAAATTCAAAATATTATTCAATGGTCACATGATGTAAAGGTCAATGTGAATCAGTCCATGCTTTGTTCCTTTCAATCCAGAATTTTCCCCTGACACTGGGGGCTTCTGCATTTTTATAACTGCAACAATTCGAATAGTGTTTTGCCTGTGTGATCATTTGTTTTGTTTTACAAAAGGACTGGGGACATGACTTTGGGTGGTTTTCTTATGACATAGTAAGTTGGGGTACAATGTTTTGTGCAGCAGGAACATCTACCTTTGTGACCTTTCTCCCTAGTCTCCCCAAAACAGAACTGGCACAGGTAAATTCAAAATATTATTCAGTAATCACATGATGTAAAGGTCAATGTGAATCAGTTCATGCTTTGTTCCTTCCAATCCAGATTTTTTTGCCCCTGACACTGGGGGCTTCTGCATTTTTATAACTGCAACAATTCGAATAGTGTTTTGCCTGTGTGATCATTTGTTTTGTTTTACAAAAGGACTGGGGACATGACTTTGGGTGGTTTTCTTATGACATAGTAAGTTGGGGTACAATGTTTTGTGCAGCAGGAACATCTACCTTTGTGACCTTTCTCCCTAGTCTCCCCAAAATATTTTTTAAACAAACTACAGTATATTGCTATATTAATTCATCTTCGCTCAGACAAAAAGAATAAAGATTGAAATCAATATGCAATCTAAACAATTCCAAGGAACTCCAGACTACAATGTTTCCACAGTATGTGTATATGTTCATATGTGTATGGAGAACTTCAGAAACTGTCCCTTTTCCCCTACCACTGGAGGTAGGGCAAGGAACCCCACAGCACACTGGTTAAACTGCAGTACTGCATTCCAGATTCTGCTCGTGACCAGAGTTCAATCCCCACAAGCTCAGGTAGCTGGCTCAAAGCTGACACAGCCTTTCATCCTTCTGAGATCGGTAAATTGAGTACCCAGCTCGCTTGGGAGGAAGGCAATGTGTAGCCTGCATAATTAGACTGTAAACTGCTCAGAGAGTGCCTTAAAGCAGTGGTTCTTAACCTTTGTTACTCAGGTGTTTTTGAACTGCAACTCCCAGAAACCTCAGCCAGCAGAGCTGATGGTGAAGGCTTCTGGGAGTTGCAGTCCAAAAAAATCTGAGTAACAAAGGTTAAGAACCAGTGCCTTAAAGCACTATGGGGCAGTATATAAACAGCACAGTTTGCCTTTCTTTGCACTGTGCAGTCCATTGAACAGCCCCAGCAGCTTGATGGCAAACCACGGAAGGAGAGCTGGGGATCAGCAGAAGAGCACCATCAAAGGAAGGGATGCTATGGGCACAGAGTGAACCACAACACACTGAGGGGCCAGTATGGACACTGGCACCAAAACAAGCTGGGGCCTTCACGGGGTCACAACCAAATGCAGTCACAAAAGACTGCATTTGTGAATCAAGCTAACACAAAGCCAAATTGCTTCTATTTGGCTTGTCAATGTAGTTGCACCCTGAATTGTGTCACCCTCACTACAGTCTCCCCACACATGTGGGGATTAAGAGGCAAGAATGGCTGGTCAAAGCATGATTACAATTTCAAGTCTCAGTCTCACGTTTAGCCTTTGTTCTTCCTCCCATATTTAGATTTCAAATTAATTGCCTTCATTTTTCTTTGGCCTCTGCCCTGGAGGTGTGCTGCTCAGCTAAAAAGAGAAGCAGTTGGGGAAGAACCCAAAACAAAGTTTCTTTTTCTCAGGATCTAGCGCCTCTGTACCATCCCCAGATTCACTTTTACAGCTGAAGCCAATCCAAGCTTGTAAAACATGATCACTTTTGTTGCTATGCTAGGGGGTAGACAGAATGCAGATTAAAAGAGAGGAACCATTATCTTCTCCCCTCCCCTTAAAACATTTTTTTTTCGGGTGAAAGGCTTCTTCCTTTGGGCTGAGTTATGTTTTTAACAAGCGTTTCCCAAGCAATTGTTGTTATATGCTCTTTCCCTCTCTCTTTTTCTGGCATGGACATGTCTGGACACTTTCTTGCTGCAGAGTTCCATGAGATCCCACGCAGTTTTGTTCCTCTCTCCAAACATCCTCTTTTATGCCAGTATTACCAATGTGCATGGTATCCGGGGCCAGGGGAGCAAGTGGAAGGCAAAAGGAGCCCTTAATATTGCTACAAGCCAAAAAGAGCATGACTGAAATCCCCAAGTGGTTGGAGATGATGTGACTTCTATTTGGCTTGCCAAACACAGATTGGAAGGGAGAGTGTCTTAAATTAAATTTGCTCAAAAACCATCAGTATTATAATCTGCTAATTAGTACCTAATCAGCAGGAAAAAATACACAACTGGTCTGGATGCTCTTGGATGTTGTATCCACCATTTTCTTTTTAAAGAAAAAAGGATTAAATTTTGACAAGAGAGTAGCTAATACAACTGTCTCTGATGCCTGATATTGCAAGGTGGTTTTTAATGGATCCTTCCAAACTTGGGTTTTACAATATATGTGTCTTAAAAGGATATAACATCACCAGATTTAAAAATGTGCACAAAATTGTATTTCAACTCAACTTGTTAAGTCTCTGTGAGATCACAAGAATTCCTTTCTGGAATTCAGAAACTTCCATGTATGATAGAAAAGCTCCTAGAAACCCAATCTGTATTCTTATACCCATCTTCCAGAAGGAGTTCCTGTACACTTGGTAACTTTGTGTTAGCCTTTGTACAGAAATACATAGCGAGTGCTTTGTGTATATTTATCTGGGAGAATAGTAAAAAAGAAAAATCAAGAAGCATAAATAAAACATGTATTATTGAAATATTATTAAAATGTTATGTCTGAAACTTAGACATCTTACTCTGGGTCAGAGCTATATGATCTAGGGATATTTTTAGAACACTAATTTTATCATGTGTATAATCCTGTGACACTAATTCAGACATAATTTTTTAATCTGGAATTCCAGTTTTTAAACAGTTTGAGGCAATGAATTTGGGGCAATGAACAGGGCCAAGAACTGGATTAAGCAAAGGGAGATAACCTATGGCCACCCAACACAATCCACATGCAGGAGTGTGTATACCCAATTAAATAAATGGAGTAACACAGTTTTCAAAGAAGTAGCTACATTAGTTTGTTTCAGCATATATGAGAAAGGCAAAACAAAAATAAAAGCAAAAGTATTTTTCCAACATTTTTTAAAACAATCATTCTGGTGTGCTTATACATAGAATAATAACTGCATTCATTGGTGCTCTTATGGTAATGATCTCTGTTTAATTTATGTACAGCAATGTTCCCTCTATTTTTCAGCTCTGCTGGGCATGGCTCTGCCCTTTGTGCGCATGACTTCACACAGCACCCCATGCGGGGTTCTGTCGCGACCAGAACCAAAGGGGCTGAAAATGGTTGCTGTCGGTGCACAGAGGAGGAGGAAGGCTGCCCGGAGGGGAGGGAAGTCATGTGCCCCTTAGAGGGAACCTTGATGCACAAACAGAACAACATGAGTAGAGCCTAACTTTCTGTGCTTCCACAGTTTTCTGGATTTGCGCCCTGGAGATGTTTTTAAACTTTGCTTTGTTAACACTTAAAGTTTCTAAGAGGCAAGCCTTTCTTTTAAGACAATACTTATAGTATGCTAAAATCCTTACCGAAGAGTAATATTGAAGGTTAAGGAATTGGGTCAACAACTAATTGGATCATGTGCTAAAGGCAACTCAGAATAAAGGATGGCTGGCCGGTCCCCCGCTGTCAGAACTGGCCCAGGAGCTACTGGTTACTGAATCCTAACCCACAACAGTGGAAAATTCAGTCCCAGGAATAGACTAACTCTGAGAAACCTATAGCATATAGATCCCAGTAGTAATAGCCAGCATACTCAGTGGTGATTGAAGATGGAAGTTGTAATCTAAAAGCATATGGGTGACCACATGTTCTTCATTACTGTTTTGACTAACAGGGAAATTCCCCCTTCTGGTTCAAACCCAGTGAACTTAGGGTGCAATTATAATGGGGAACTGAATCGGAGCAATTTGGCATTGCTGCAATTTGATTTGTGGCCTGTATTACATTTGAAATCAGTGCCCACACAGGAGCTGTGAATTGATTTGGGAAGTTCACTGTTCATACTGGATGTGATTTGCATTCCAGCCCAGAGCCACCCCCTTCTTTCCTTCCTCGGATCCCACCTCTGCCAGTCCTTTTATGAGGCATACATATGGGAAATAATAGTAATGATGGTCCACTGATAATGTGATTGGATGATCTAGCCCTAAACTCATAGATGCAATATTTTTTTTAAAAAAAAATCAAGGATGGAGAGAGGAAAAAATATTGGGGGAGGAGTTCCTTCAGTCTTAAACATCATGCCCCAACTGCCTATATCACTGAATCATCCATCACCTACAGAGATGCCCTCAGGATTATAAGAACACATCACAACTAACCACATGTGGGAAAGCCCATTCAAATCATTCTGGCTTGGAAAAAATAGAAGACCCCTAGCAGCAGAGGGGAAAAATTCACTTTGGGAGCAGTCACTTTGGGACCAATTTGAGTCAGCCTTTGCATCATATGATCATAAAAATACTTAGAATTCACCTGTTTTATAAATGGAGCACACCCTGCAGTATTTGACCATGTAGTCCCAGCCTAGAGGCTAAGGATCTGTTTTGTATAAGTGTGAATACCTTTGCCCACAGATACATAAATGCCCATGTATGCCTCAGGCTCCACTCACCATTGGTTATTGTGCTATCTACCACAACCAGTTACAATAGGCATTAGCTACCACTGGGTTAAAATTGTATGGTTCAGATATTTTGAATTCAGAGAGTGAGGAACAAGAATGGGGAGGGAGGGAAGCAATATGGTAAATGGGAAGGGTGAAAAGTACCTGCCTTAATATATTTGATGATCAAGTTCAAATTTAGTGTTATCATGCACTCTAAGAAATAATAAGACACTCATTTCCATGTAACTAGAGAAGAAATTCACAGTCATGGGAAAGTGACAAACAAATTAACATATTATTGTGAGAAAAGAAAAAATTTATTTTCATTTTCCCCATTCCAGATTTCCAGATATATATTTATATTTCGAGTTGCTTCCAATGCTAGTAGCTTGAAGGGGGGAAATTATGGTAACTCAAAATCAAAAGGTTTATTTGGCACAATTGTTCATTAGGCAGTCTACAAAAACCTTATGCCTATGACCAGAGCAGCCCCCCTAAATGTTGAGATTAAATGCTCTTTCTGATCCACTCAAGAGACATCCATGCTTATGCCAAATAAAACTTGTAAATATTTAAAGTCCCACAAAACTCTCTGTTGTTTTTGCTACAACAAACTAACATGGCAACCTCTCTGGAAAAATCAGTAGCTTGAACTAAGGGAAAAGGCTGAAGTAAGGGGTGGGGCAGTAAGACGATATTTAGCAACATGTAGACAATTACAGGTACGTATTTAGAAAAGGATGGATAAATCTTAAATCACACATTCCAATGTTGGGCCAGATTTTTTCATAAAAGATAATTTTAAAATAATTATCTCCTCACCCACCTCAAGAAGATCTAGTTGTGGTAAGGCATGGTTTAATCAAGCCAGATTTTATAAAGCAACAATAAACCATGTGTTTTGTGGCTGGTGAACAAACCATGTCTTATTGGTAGAGGCATGTTTTACAAAATAATATGCGAGATTTTCAAGTACTGTAGCTACAGCAAACACAGTCAGTTTCATGTGAACCCCCATAGTTGGTGAACAAAGTACAGTTGTTACACACAAAGGCCTAGAATGGAAGCATAGTCTAAAAAAAAAGTACAGTCAGATTCTGCTGTTACAAGAATTCGCACTATTGGAACTTTTCCCTACTACTCTCTCAAATCAGGAATGGCCAGTTCTCCATTCTAAGGCTAAGGAACTTGTCCTTTTACAGGTGATCAAAGCACCAGTGCTGGATCCTCAAAAATTATGAAACGTGTAGTGCATATTATCCCAGATTACAAAAATTCACATGGGCCACCAACTATTATAAAGGAAGTAAGAGCCACTTGTGAACACACCCATAGTTAAGGAAGAAGTTATCTGAGAGATGTTTGGATCAGAGCGAAATAGCAGTATAGGCCACACAAACCACACATTTTGCCCAAGACAGGAAACTTGACAAGTGAATAGAAAGTGAATTGTGGTAGCCATTTTGCTTACTGGAGTAGATATATTACAGACTAATCTGGAGACCTAGTGGGGAGGACCTGGCTATTAGATGGCTAGATCTAAACCCCTATATCGATACAAGAATGAATCCCCACCCCACCCCACCAAAGCATCAACATATGAGGCCGCTGTATGTCATAGTTCCAAGATGGAGATAGCAAAGGCCCATCTCCCTTAGCTTATAACTGCCAGTTTAGCTAAACCAACTTCAGAAGCCATCCTTCAAAAGCACCCCTCCCTCTCTTCCCATAAACACCTCAATGCTTAAACCTGTGCCAAAGCTTCTCAAGAGTCTGGCCCTTCTCGATATGTCCCCCCAAAACACTCTCCTTCCCATCTACAGAATAAATAATCTCACACTTTGAGGACAAAAATGTTCAGTTCAAAGGGTATAGGGCCTCAGAACCTTAAGCAGAGAGAATAAATCACTAGGCCAGGAGTGACCATTATGAAGATACAGGGTGGGAATATCCTCAGTGAGGAAGAACACCTCAGTTGGGTTGGGAAACAGCACTTGAAGAGCTTCCATCAGGTTCCCGTTTGACTTTGGCAGGAGGATCAGTCCCAGCTTTGGCTTCCCCCTCTGCTTCCTCTTTAGCACCTTCATGTGTCTTCATATGCTTGCTGAGGTGGTCACTTCTCATGAAGACCCGGTTGCAAACAGGGCAAGCAAATTTCTTGGTTCCAGTGTGGGTCTGAAGGTGCCTCTGTAACTCATCAGAACGAGTGAAACGCTTCCCACAGAACAACCAATTGCAGACAAAGGGGCGGTCACCACTGTGCCACCTCAGGTGGGCTTTCAGATGAGACGTCTTGGCATAGGCCTTGCCACAACCAGGGATATGGCAGTTATGAAGATGCTTCTTCTTGGAGTTGTCAGGGCACTGACCAACCCGTTCAGCTTCCTGGCAGTTGGGGCATCGACAGGCTGCCTGGCCAGAACTACGTGTCACTGAGCGCCTTGAACTCTTTGGCCTACCACTACCGTCTCCAACCTGCTCCATTGGGTGGGGCTCCTGTGTAGAATCCAAAGATTTGATCACTTCCTGGCCCATGAGGTGAGGTGTTGAAGGCAACAGGTGGTGAGGAGTGCCACAGAGTTGGTGTTCTGCAGAGCCGTAGCCACCCAATGCTGGTTGAAGTCCACTTGTGTGGCTTGGAGGTTGGAGACCACTCTGCAGATCCATCCAGCTGGATCCAGCATGAAGGTCCCACCACGGATTGACACTGCCTTCATCAGTAGCATTGCTAGGATGCGTAGGGCGGAACCAGGGTTCATAATGGTGAGACATATCTGGTGCTGCCTGTAGAAGCTTAGAGTAGGAGCCTGAAGGCAGCTGGCTTTCAGCGTCCAAGTCTAACCGCGAAGACCCATGCAGCTCGTAACCAGTATTGGTTGAATACTCTGTGTCAGGACCAGCCAAAGGCAGGTGCTGAAGCTCTGTGGGCTGCAGAGGAGATGGGAAATCTCCCCCACTCTCTGGACTAGTGTGGGGCTGGTAGTTTTGCAGAGGTTGTAGCTCCAAATGAGTTGGAGAGGAACAGGGCGTCTCTGAGCACTGGTTGCCAAGAGAACCACAGACGGCTGTGAGCATTGCAGAACTCCCGGGGTGGGCAGGTTCTCAGACACACCTGAAGAGAAGGAGAGGAAAAGAGAAATGGTTGTGAAATAACAGTGCTGTGCAGAACAGAAACATGCATGTTGCCTCCAAAGGAAGTGGGCTCAAAACTAGAGTCTGGAAAAGTTACTTTTTTGAACTGCAACTCTCCATGTGTCTGGAATGCTGTGGAAACTATAGTTTTTTTAAAAAAAACTTCTCCAAATTCTGCTCAAGACCATTTCACTTACATACGACAATGCTGGGCAAATGAGACATTTAATCTAATATTTACTAGAAATTCTCCCAAATCCCAGATCATCTTCAGGGTAATAATTTTCTCACAACAAAGCTATTAGCATTTGTTATCAAATATTACTTCTTTAAGAAATGATGTGAATTCAAAATACAGTAGAACTTGAGGTGACCTGTTTTAATAAACATTGGATTCTAACACAATACTGTACAGATTTACCCACATTTCCCCCCCTGTACTGATGGTCTAATTGGGGCCCTCCCTAGCTAATAGCCAGGAGCAAGACATTAATTTTCGCTTCAGTTCCATGTCTGCAGTGTGGAATACAAGACAGCTATCTCACAAAAACTGGCAAAGATGAAGATTTTAGTAGCACTCAAAGCTGCGGTGGTGTGCCAGAAAATCCCTGGTTCAAATCTCATCACAACCTTTAACTCACTGGATGGTTTCAGATGAAACAATTTCATATATTTGCAATTCTTTATCTCCATCTTGAGATTTCCAATTCTTTATCTCCATCTTTATCTCCCTGCACAGAAGGTCAAGCTTATTGGTAAAACAAATAAGAGAATCCAGCTGTTATTTACAACACACACACAAAATTGGAGTGTACTTTACATTGACTATATATCAGTTCATGGCCACCAAAGAATTTCTATCATTGTGATTTACTTCTCTAGAACATGGGCCATTATTTTTCAGAATAAACATAAGCCATGCATAACCAAACTGTGGTGAGAGAATTGTGTGGACCAAGAGTATAATTTGCCACTTCTTATTCATTCTTTTAAAAAGTAACTTCCAACATTTTTGTGAATGGATTAAATGAGTTTAAATCTGAGGTTTTCTGATTCCCAGCCAAGGAAGAATGAATTAAACCTGCTAAAGTCTAAGGATGTTATGTGCTTAGATATTAAAGAACCCCCTTTCAATGACTTTGTATACTATTCATTTTGGAAAAGTTCCTTTGAGTTCATAACACCTTTAAATGATGTTTGTTTCTCTGAAAAACATATATTTCATATATGTGTTTATGGACATCTTTGTTACATTTATACTTTTCCTGGTTAGCAATTAAGATGTACACAAAAATATGCAATGTATAAAACAGCCCCTAACAGCCATCAGCTCTAGAATAGAAGCATGGTTTCTTCCATAACACTGGGGAATGTACAGTACCTATGTGTACATATGCAATACTTAGATAAACATCCTTAGACCTGTAACAGAACAGTACTTTCCAGAGATCATCACATTATATGTATAGTATCAACATGTATAATGTGGACACATTAAGTTCCCCTTAAGAAGAAGCTGGAGGAGGAGAATGGTATTGTAGCAGAGTTTGTCCGGATGAGGGTATGGGGTGGGGAATTTAAACATAGTTTATTCTATTTTTCTTCTTCAAAAGCTTTTCTTAGAGACAGACCCTCTAATTGGTGGCTTCTCAGAAGCAGATAACAGTAATTATATCAACTGATTTTCAGCCCACTTAGCTGTGACAGCCCAACGCTTGCCTCTTCTGGGTGGAAACGAAGAGGACTTGCTGAGTTTTCCCCTTGCGAGGGAAGAAAATGAAGGTCTGAGACTTGCCAAGCAAAGTTAGGAAACAAAATTAAGAGGTGCTTTAGGCCATTGTGGTATCCAACACATACTAAGAAAGAAACAACTACAGACAGGTCAAGCAAATCTTTTACTACAGGTGTTAGCGCATACAATTTTCAATGGGGTAGCCATATTAACTTAGTTAAAGCAAATTTTAAAAGTCTTTAAGGTATTAAAACAAAATTGTTTCTGAATGTTCTTTCTGAAAAGAAGTGAAGAGAAGGGACACAGAGTGTGGTTACACTATTAAAATGAATTGATTGCTGGATCAGGGTTTTTGAATTCAGATTAAAGTTACATGACAGTCACATAGTATTTGGATCAGGGTGTGCATCCTCTTGGGGAAACTTTTAACCCAGTTTTAAGCTGTGCTGTATATAGGGGGACTACACAGTCTTTTAAAATTGTTGCAGTTGAAGTTTTGTCTTTCCCCTGTTGTTGTGGTGGGAGAGACAGAAGGTCTCCTGGCAAAGCTGCTTCTTCCTTTGGACAGCTTTGCTGCTTCTGTCCCTTTAAGAGTGTGGCAACTGTTCCTTGGGAGGCAGAGAACAGCAGCATGTTAGGAAAAGAGGCACACAGAGAAAAAGAGATCTGCTAAGGACTGGAAGGAGAAAGAAGCCAGTGCATAGTTCCTGAAAATATTCTTGCCCTTTTCAGCTCCAAAGAGCACCAACCCAGGATGAACTGTGGATGTTTGCAAAGAGGCAAGGAGGAGACCTTGTGAAACTTGATCTGCCCCAAACCATTGTCAGATCGTAACTCCCATTTGTACCCATATACTACACCACAAAAGTCGTGAGTGCATGGTTTTGCAATGATGCAAAAACACGGATCCAAAGCATGGATCCTCGTGATTTCTGTGTACAATCATCCCAAGCTACTGTCCGATCTGTAGGCAGAGATGGTGCCTCTATTTGGAGAGTGGTTTGGGGATGAGCCTACTAAAAAATTATATGGATCCACAAAGACTTGTGTCTCAGATCCATTTTTTCCCACTGCAAAAAAAGAGCTCTTTGCTCCCCACTTAGATATCTCTCCTGTGTCTTGCCTTTGAGCCTGTACCTCAGGCATACCATTGCTGTATGCATTCCCTTGGGGCAACTTTTATTTCCCTGTTTTTTAAGGGAGAAGAGAGGCAGGGAAAGGAAGATTCAAAACTACATGCCAGGCAAAGCATGCACTACTTCCAGTGGTCTCCTGGCAACAAAATGAGCCCCTTAGCCGGGCATGAGGAAAAAATTATGCCAACAGTCGTGTTCTATACATTGAATCATTAGGAATTAAATCAATTCAACATCTGAGTTAAAATAAATTACCCTCTGGCAGAAGAGTTAAAAAAAACCCATTGCTGCTGAAAAAACAATTCCCTGTCAAATACAGTAATCTGGACTTCCCAAGCAAACTACACCAGAGCACAAGAGTGCTGTCCTCTGAAGATGCCAGCCACAGAGACTGGCGAAACGTTAGGAAGAACAACCTTCAGAACACGGCCAAAGAGCCCGAAAAACCCACAACAACCAATCTGGACTTCCATGGATATTGCGTTTTAACATTTTCCCCATCAATTTAAAACATGCTGACACTGGTTTAAATATGAGGGTTTTTTACTAATGTAAATGGGCTCACACTTAGCTCCTTAAACACTCCCCATATCTCTGTTCTCTTGCAAAGATTTCTAGCAAAAAATAATACGCCATAGCTTATTTACTGTTCATTTCATGAGTCTCTACCATGTAAAGATTTCACCATGTCATGGTGAGAAGTGTCACCTCCTGTGTTTCTGGCTGGTACAGAACAATTAAAAACTATGGGCAATATGCTAGAAAACAAATGAGCAATCTGAACTGTGCCATGGTTGGACTGGTAAGCCCTAGAGATATAGGAATACTGTACGTGTTCCAAATTCTCACATAGGCCATCCAATGAATTCATTTTCCAAGTGCAAATCCGTACGTAGCCATCCACACATAAGATGGAAGTATCAGTAGGCATAGGGGAGCTTCAAGGTTTGCAGAAGTGGTGAGAAAAATCTATACGGGGTGGAACCCCAGTGGAAAACAACCCCAAAACAGCCTAATAAGGATTGTCTCTGAGCAACCTCAGGGGCCATCTACATTGGTCACTTACTTCGCAGTTTACATTGAATTCGGCATGGATTAAATCAAATTAAAAACCAATGACTACATGAGGCAAAGCTAAGCACAGGGAAATCTTTTATTTTTAGTTCAGCCAATGCAAGATAGTGGTATATATTTTTTTCTACACTGGCATTGCTTTCTCCACTTTCTGCCCTTTGTGACTGTCTGATCCAATACAAAGGGGTGCTTATGGGGGTATCAGTTTCTCTCAACCAAGCACCTGTCTTTCTCCAAATGTTTTTCCCCACAGGCTTTAAAGTCAGCCCTGAAACTAATTATTGCTAAGCCACTTCAGAATAAATAAAAATTTTAAAAAGAGGTGGAAACTGCCAATTAGCACCTTATCAGAATAAAGTTGCAGGTGGTTAGTCTACAATCAGAGTGATTGTAGTCATCTGGACAATTATAGCAATTTCACTCACTGACACTAGCAGGGACATACTTTGAAAAACTCTGGATCATAACAGAGGTTTTGTAATTTCCATGCTATGTAGTTGCACAATGAGTTTGGTCACAGAGTGCTGACTGGAAAACTGAAAGTGGGGGGAGAACATAATGGAACTCAGTGTAGAACAGCTTAATGTACACACCCTGAGTAGAAGCACTCCATACTGCAATATTTTGTTGCAGAGAGGGTCTTACTTGTTTCCACATATTTTACAACTACAAATCCCTTTTTACCACAAAGTATAAATTCCAAAAATGAACCTCAGACAGATAAAGAACTGTTTTCTGACACATTTCTGATATTAACATTTAACGTCATACATGAAAGGTTTTAATTACAGAAATAAAATTTCCAGAAAATGTGAATGAGGTGATGGAATCCTGAAACTTTGGGGGAAATTGAACCCTATGCAATGCCTACTTTCTTTTCAAATTGAAATTTAGTTTGCATCCTTGTTTGCAATATAGTTTGCAATATAAAATGCATTATTTCTATATTTAGTTAGCATATGAAACGGTACTATTTGACTTTTAAAGAACAACTCTGAAGAAACCTAGTTAGCATAGCCAGTGATGGGAATTGCAATC